ATGGCGGGAATCACGCTTCCGCTTCTTCATAATCTCTTCAACCTCCCACTCCTCATGAGAGTTCGTCAGACCAAAATACATCACCAAAGGTTTGAACAACCCTCGGTTAGTCCGAAAGGCCGCCTTCCACTCGTCTCCCTCTTTAATCCGGACTGTCAGGGGAACCCCCGCTTCGGCCTCCTTCGGACCCTCCGAACGCATCTGAGGCGCATCCGACCGGCGCCCCCTGGGACGCTCCGACCCACCCCGACCATCGTCCACGGCCTCCTTCGCCCGCACAATCACCGATCCGTCAAGACCCTCCCAACGATCACCTTGGGACAGAGCCTGCGACGCCGCTCAGGCCTTCTGCACTCTACGTCGGCAGTTACGGACTACCAGTATATAGTTGGCGCCCTAGCAGGCGGACCCTTAGAGTTTCTTCTCTTTGGATCCTCCCCTGCTAGGTCGGTCCCTCCGTGTATTTCCTGTAGTCTTATTCACTCTTTGGATCCTCCCCTGCTAGGCTTTCGTCGGAGTCTCCAGGGTTGCCCTTACACGGACATTATTAAAGCCCCAACGAACGTCAAGCTTAGTGAAGTAGCGGGCGCCCTTGAGCCTGTTGATAAGGTCATTAATCAATGGGAGGGGGTACCGGTTCTTAATCGTCATCGCATTGAGGGCGCGATAGTCCTGGACAAACCGAAGTCCTCCATCCTTTTTCTTAACGAAGAAGACAGGGGAAGCTATCGGAGATTTCAAGGGCGAATACGGCCTGTGGCAAGTCCTTCCTCAATGAACGCATCGAGTTCACGCTGTTCGAGGGGGGAGATCGGATACACCTTGCAGTTAGCGGGTTTCGCGTCAGGGACAAGTTCGATAGCATGGTCCCAGGCCCTTCGCTCAGGTAACGTGTCGAAGGGCTCCTTGTCGAAGACGTCTTGGAACTCCTTGGCCCAATCCGGAATCTCCGAAGGTGGGGGAGCCGAGTTACATGCGAAGGCTTCGGCGAGGCGTTGTGATACCATGCTCCCAGCGCAAGTCTCCTCTACTGGGCGGAAGGAGGTGTAGAAGATGCGGTCGCCATCGTCAAGGTGCTCGTCGTCGTCAAGATCTGGCGAGGGGTTCGGAGGGCCCGAAGCGGCTCCGAATTCATCCTCAGCATCATCTGGGCCAGCAATGTCAACAGCGCAGATGGTGGGGAAGGCACCTGCAAGTAGTCGTGATTTGAGGAGTCGGAGACGCCGAACCTCGGCGTGTTCAGTCCGTTCCTCGTCTCGGCAGGTAGAGCAGCTACGAGGGCAGTGACTCGTTTTCACTTCCTTCATTTCCCAGTTGATCTTGGGGTTATGCCTTTTGAGCGAGGAGTACCCGAGTATCAGGTCTTGTTTCCCAAGGTGGGTCACAGCCAGCTGAACACGTTCGGAGTGTCCGTTGTACCACAGAACGAGGTCCACAATTTGGCGAATAGACCCAGCATCATTGGGGGGTACCATTGACGTTATAAACTGGGATGGGCACTGCGAGATTGCGGACCGGTATACGGTTTTGGTTGACATATCCCATGTCGATGAAGTCCAAAGTGGCTCCGCGGTCGACCAGACCTGAGAGGGAGAGCTTGAGCGTGTTTGTAGTGGACTCAAGTTCTAGGGGGAGGTGGAGCGAGTTAGCCCCAGGCGCGGCGGAGATGGTATAGCTGCCGGGTAGCTTTTTCTCCCAGGCAAGTCGGCGAATCCGAACGGGGGGTTTCGGAGGGGGTAGGGGGTGTGTCTTTCGTTTCAGGCTCGTTGTAGGGCAGAGGAGTTGATGCATCATACAAACAAGTGAAACGACGGGAGAGAAAATCCTCTGCCGGAACCTCCGAATGCACCTCCGCTAGGGCCGCGGTGTCAGACAACCGGGCGAGTAGCTCTCCCAGCATCTCGTTGCCGAGTTGTTGGATTACCTCATCGAGGATGTCCATGTGGCAAACGTCAGCGGGGAGCGGACAGTCCTGAGCCAAGTGGTTGGGGTCGCCACATCTGAAGCAGGCTCGACGAGGGGCGCCCCGAGCCCTAGTACGATCCAACTCCATTGGGACAGGAGCGGGAGGTACCGAGACAGGGGCGCGGGCCGCGGGTGGCACGGGTGCGGACACCGGGCGGATGGGGAACGGAGTCGCCAAACAGGCGATAGGGAATGTGCCACGCGGGGCCCCCAAAGGCGTCCGTGGGGTGGTCCCTTTGATGAGCTTCGCCTGCACCAAGGCTTCGTATTGGCGGAAAGCCCGAGTGTGCCAGCCCAGATAGTCACGGAGGTCTGGGGGGTCGTTCGAAGACGTGATGCCATTGTTGATCAGGGGGTCAAGTCCATGGCGGTACTTGGTCACCTTAACCAACGCGTCTTCGAATCCGGCGAGGTCTATTAGGTCCTCGAAGTCATCGGTGTATCCATAGACGTCCCACGTTCCTATGTGGTAGCCCGCGCTCTCCAGCTTAGCGAGCGCAAGGTCCTGCTCATTCTCCTCGACGAACCGAAGGCAAAACTTAGAGAGGAATAGGTTCCACCAAGGGAAAGGAAAGGGGGTTTTGCTTTCATGATGCTCTGCTCATTGCTGGGCAGGTCCCTCCGCCATATAGGACATGGCGTAGCGGACGGCCTTTTCTTCACTCGGCTCTCCGTTGACCACAAAGGCCTTGGGGGCAAGCCGGGCGTAAGTCTTGACCGCGTATAGGACGGCACGGCCACGTTTGCGATCTCCGTTAAACCCAAACAGGGGGTTTGGTTATAAGACCAGTTTTGAGGCAACAGTAATGTTGCCAAATAACGCGTCCGCATCGGGGGCATTCGGAGATGCCGAAGTCGGTTCGGGAGCCGCCAAAGGTGGTGCGGCAGCGGAAGCCTGAGAAGCGAGATGGGTGAGGATCTTGGTGAGGTTGTCTAGTTTCGCCTCAAGTGCGTCCATGCGCGCGTCAGTGTCCGGAGCAGCTCTGGTAGACATAGCGGGTGTAAAGACGACAAGAGCAGAGGAGGAGGGGTCAAGTGGCAGGGGCGGTGGTACGGACTTGTACTCCGAGCCTGAATCAGTGCCAAACCTGGCAATCTTGACCGGTTAATCCCGTAGAGAGTTTCTTCTGCTGTAAGGGCAACCCTGGAGACTCCGACAAAAGCCTAGCAGGGGAGGATCCAAAGAGAAGAAACTCTAAGGGTCCGCCTGCTAGGGCACCAACTATATACTGGTCGTCCGTAACTACCGACATAGAGCGCAGAAGGCCTGAGCGGCATCGCAGGCTCTGTCCCAAGGTGATCGTTGGGAGGGTCTTGACAGATCGGTGATTGTGCATATGAGATGGGGGGCCAGACCAGAATTGAAACCAGAATCATGATTGCCTCTGAGGGGCCAAAAGGGAGGTTCCCCCTTAACATAAGGTTGAAGATGCCAAAGTTTGTTGGAGCAGGATCAAATATTATAATAAAATTATAATATCATATTCCACATTATTATATATAGGACATTATGCATTTAGCATCATAATATCATGATAGGCCAGCGCTACCAAGTTGCACGGCTTGCCCCCAAAGCACAGGAATAGTAAAAAAACCTTTGGTCATAGCATTCACCCCAAGGATTCAGAAGAGAACTGGAGAGGTGACAATGCCGGCTGCACCATAGGTGGCATGATAAATACATGGTAGTAGTGGATATAAATGATCTTTATGATATCTTTTCACAGTGCTTGTTGCTTACCTTCACTGGCCAAATGGCTGTCCACAATTATATTATGCCAGAATATATTTAAATAAATATGATTATAATATGCCTCTGGCAGATTCACTGGAAATCTTTTTGAATATGAATAAATATGCATATAATTATATTATGCCAAGGTTATATTCATTATATATTCATTACTGGCCGCACCTATTCAAAACCTTGATAAACCTGTTAATAAAAGGTATAATTTGAACTTGGGAGACATGAAATGTGATTTTGTCAGTGGAACCTCCCTTTCGGCCCTTTCGGCCCCTCGGAGATGCCTCTGATTCCGGTCCGATTCCGATTCCGATTCCGACTCCGGTCCGGCCTTCCATCTCCCGCGCACAATCACCGATCCGTCAATGCCCTCCCAACAGTCATTCTGGGACCTGACCTGCGACACCACTTAGGCCTTCTGCGCCACCCAGCGGCAGCTACAGACAAGCAGTATATAGGCAGCTCCCTAACAGGCAGACCCTTAGAGTTTCTTCTCTTTGGATCCTCCCCTGCTAGACCCTTGATCGCAGGCCTCCGGGTTTGCCCTTACAAGAAACCTACTCTGAAGGCTTTCTTTCGACACTAGTTGCATGATTTTGCGCCTCTCAACCACTGGCTCTTCATTTCAAACAGTTCACTGAGGTCCCAATTACAAGTCACATGATGATACAATGAGTTGACTTGGAACAGTTGTTTTGACATAAGTATTCTGGCACTACTGAATGCTACCAAAAACATTTGTCAAGCCAAAAGAATGTAATAGCCGGTCTCAACAGCACTCTGGGAAGCACCCTGATGGGTTGAGCATAATTGAATATATTCTGAATATAATTGAATATATATTCGTGATTTTGAGTACAATTACATTATGCTTCCAATAATATGAATATATTATGCAAAACATGTATTTATAATCATAATTGGACAGCACTAAACTGGCATCCTCTGATTCGGTGATTCAGCCATGTCATCTATCACCAACACCTCAATTTATTCACTGAAAGGCATGCATAAATACTGAGTTGAGATGTATTTTGCGGATAACTTGAGACATGTCACCTAATACATGGAATGGCATGGTGTCGCTTTTGGGTTCAACTCAGCGGCTTGGAAGCTTTAGCCCACACCCACAGCAACTACTACTGTAATATTTATAATATATCAACTTCGGTGAAGAATTTTGAGCAAGAGTCATCCATAGGCACAGTCATTATATTAAGATGAAACCAAAGGGCTTGGTCTTGGTCCTCTTTGCCCATTGGGCGAACACTGCTCTTCGATGATTGCCTCAGGCCGCCCAAGTTGTCTGCCGCACCTCCTGGCACATCATCACCAGCTTCCCCACCTCGCTCCACCGCCCGCGGTACTCCTCGCCCTGGATGACGACCAGGTCCTTGAACATTCTGTCCAGATGGCGCGCCAGCAGATGCAGATCTACGCCGTCCCAGCTGTACCCGCTCGCACTGTGCGCCGCGCTCAGCCGGAGCTCTCGCAGGCCGTGCGCCTTGGGCGGCGCGCCACCCCTGGGAATCTCGGGAACCATGTTCCGGGTGGGAGTGAACGGCACGTGCAGCACGCGCAGCGCCGGACAGTGCTCCGCCAGGGCCTGGAAGAAAGCGATGTCGGCGTCGCCGTGGCCCTCCGCGAACGTAAGCGTCTCGAGCACGGGCCAGGTGCGGACGACGGTGAGCACGTTGCCGTCGCTCAACGATGTGCCCTGGGTCAGGAGACGGTGGAGGTGGAGCGTGCGGAGGGAAGTGAGGCCGGATATAAAAGGGAAATCGTCGATGGAGTGGAGGGACATCCCGTTCAGGCTTAAATATTCAAGGCTGGTCGCCCAGCGGGATACGAGGCGGCTGCCGAGGGTGCGAAACGCGGCGGGGTGCTGCGAGGTATCAACACGGTCTTGGTACGAGTCGCGGGACAGCAGAACGTCCAGCCGCTTCAGCGCCGGCGCGCCGATGGTAAGCAGAAACGCCGGCACGATCCGGTACATTGCCTTTCGCGTGGACTTGACGTTGAGTTCGGAGAGAGATAGGAACAGGGTGTCGTGGGGGATCAACTCAAATTGGATGGCATCCCACATAACGAGGTCGGTGGAGAACACCCGCAGGTCGGGGATACCACCTACGACCTGTAAGTCAGCCGTGGTGAGAGGCTCCCGGATGGTTTTCAAGTCAAGCGTTCGAAGACCCTTGAACACTGCGTCCAATCCGACTAACTCCCGCGCGCCACTGAGGGAAAGTTTCTCGATATGCGGGGACTGTTGGGCGAGGAGTTCGAGGAAGGTCTGTGCGGTCGATGTGTATCCAGAGGCCAGCGTGAGCGAGTTGATGCTTGGAGACAAGTAAAGCAGGAGCTCGCCGTCGTTGTATGGCTTCGAGGTCATACCTGTGAACACGAGACGTTGCAGGTTGGGAAGTAGTGGTTGTTTCCGCATGGCAAGACGCAGGTAAACAGCGCCTTGCACCGGCATCGACGAGCTCGAAGAATACGTGTAGTCCACCACGCGGACGTAGGCCGCATAGCGGTCAAACAGCTGCCAATCTGCATCCCGGATGATTCCGTTAAGTTCCTACACCACGTATCTCAGTCAAAAGAGCACATAAAAAACCCATTGTTGCGCACCCATAGCATGATATCCTCGTTCAAACTGAAATTCCTCAACAACCGCATAAGTGGCACCAAACTCGGGATTTGCTCCCAGAGAAGTCGTACGGCCGTCGGTGTGAACGACTTGCACGCCAGCCCTACGCTCAGCAGCGACACCCGGCTCGGTCGCAGCGATGGGTCGTAGTTTGCGCGCAGAATCATCTCGAGCAAATCGATGTTCTGCAGGCACTGCTTCTGGGCGGTCGACGCGCCAGGAGACGCGGGAGACGCATTTTCGTTCGTGGAAACCGTTTTGGCGCGTTTAGACGGGCCGGACATTGCGCGCGACGCGTCGTGGTGGACGGAGAGAAGAGAGGAAAATTGATGTGACGCCGTGACCCGGCACGGATGTGAAAGCCACGTCATGATGATTCGTGACACCCGACGACACGTTGCCTCTGCCCGTCATGCACCCTGCATTCGATCTGCGCGTGAGTGTCCACTGCCTCACCGAACACTATCTGCGCCCAGCTCGTCGTCGCGGTCGTCGTGGCGGAAAGGAAAGAAGGGTCGGCTGTCGGGAGTGACAAGAATAAATCATGTCATCCGCATGACATGACGCCACTTTTTTTCTTCTTGATTCACGACCACCACCACCATGCCGTCCTTGGCGGGGAGGCTTTCAAACTTGTTGGAGGACGAGCGCTGACTTTCTCACAGAAGGAATGGAGTAGCCCTCCGCAACTATCCCAAGAGCATATGGTCCTTTTTCATGTCAGTGCCCCTGCGGCAAACAGCTTTCACCCTTGCACTGACTCAACCAGTGGAGTCTCGCTCTCCACCCTTGGCGTCGGACGCAACTCCGAGTCCTCACCGATCATCCTTTGAACGAACACGCTGGTGCGGCATTGCCCATGCTAACACTCCTCGTCATCTACCATGCAATCGCTGTTCTTTCTGGCGGCATTCGATACCCAGAAGACTCCCGTCCTCCGCATCCTGCCACGTTTCCTTGTCAATCTACAACCAAGGCAATGACGCTCATCATAGGCAATGCTGGCGGCGCATGCCGCTCGTCGCATGCTACGCTGACTATTTTGAAACGGGATTGAGCTGATACCCCAAACCGGTGTCCCAGGTCTGACGACAACGACGCGTCTTAGGTCCCTCGCAAATTCGCGCCACCTGTCTTTTTTGACAACGATTCCTGAATCCTCATGCGTTCCACGCCCCGAGATTCCGCTGAACGCTCGTTCGTTCTATTGTCAGTACTTCTGGCAACCATACTCCACAATGACACACATATAGTGATTCCCAAACTTTCTAGTATCGGCGGCGAGCGGCAACAGTCGCGTGGCAGTAAACCGAGCTGTGGCACGTCTGTTCCACTTTCGGTCTCCCGTTCTCTTGTCGAACCTCATATGCAATTTATGTGCGTCGCATACGCTTGTCTTGTGTCGCTCTTCTTAACTCAAATTTGCAGCGTTAGGCAACCAATGGGTAGTATTCTCCTCCACGGGAAACAATCGTCTCGGCGCAACGTTTCTCACTCTTCTTCCGCTGGCGCTAGGACGGGCGTCGTGGTATCAGCGTTGGGCACTTCAAGACGGAAACATCCCTGGATCGGCGGCGGCGGCCACGGTTGGCTGCTCTGGAACTCGCAATTGTGACGGCAATGTCTGGGACTCGTGCCCAGCCGTGGGAGCTTGTGCCCGGCGTCTTACGATCTCTACGCTTGGACCAGCCCGCTTCCGCCCTCTAGGTTGCATCTCCCATCGGGGGTCAGCATCCGCCCCTCGTATCGATCATGATCAAACGACGAACTACTGCCACCCCGCCCGCGCCCACCAATTGTCAGCGACCAATACCGCCTCGCTGGTTTTCCGATCCGGGTGCTTCCCCTCTCGTAACCTGTTGCATGGCCCTGTCTAATTCCCCTCAGCACGGTCGCAATTCCAACACCGTGCCTCAAGGTTGGCCATTCCAGCGCCGCCGGCGACTCAACGCACAGAATTTCCCTCATTCTGTCCGGGGCTTGTCGACAGTCACACTGATCTCCGCGCCTCTCCGGCCACGCAATCGCCCCAATCGCCGCCGCTCCCCTCCCGTCACACGCACCGCCCCCGCAAACCCTGTTTCAACTGAATAGCACGCCCAGCGCGGCAATAGCGGTTCATCTCGCCGCATCCGTCCACGCACGCGACCTGCCGGCGATTCGCGCACCGGGCCCGGCTCCAAGATCAAGGTTAGATACCGCGATACCGCCATACTTATGGTGAATATAGCGATATCGCTCTCCACAGCAAACGCGCGCGCTCCCTTATCGCGCGCGATTGGTGTTGAGGCACGATCGCGGTGGGGTCGTTCTGCTCCCGCGATGCCCGCGCTGCCATGTGCCACGTCTAACTCCTGACACTAGTACTTGGCGTGAACCGTCGTCCGTCGACGGGCATGTGCTGATGCTGTCTGCCCGCGCGGCGTCTCGGCGCGAGCCGTTCTTCTGTCTGTCTGTGATCTGTCTGCGAGCTGCAGGCAGGCCTCGATCTGCCATGCCACTGCTGGGCTCCCGATCTGCCGCGTGCCTGCTGCAAGTTGTCGGTGACATGTACAGTGATGGGGATAAAAATAGCGCGCCGGGGGACTGCCGCTGTGGATACGTCGACAGCGCATTCGACGCTGCGATTGGCGCTATTCTCGCGCGATAGCTGGAGAGCATGAGTCGCTCCGGTCCGGTCCGGGTGCCCCACGCCGCCCGAAAACAGGAACTGGGAGGCGGCGACTCAACTCCAGCAAGAGAGTAAACACATGTTATGACTCATCGTATGCACGTCAGCGGCGCCGAGCTCCGAGTATAGAGTCGCGTGCGCGGCGGCCGACCGGGGACTTCCGCGGAGGCACAGACAGGTCGGTATAGCGTGGGCGCCTCGCTGTGCGCGATCGCTCAGTCCTCGAAGTGCAATCCGCGATGTTGACGCTGACGCTGAGCAGGGCCCAGACCGGCCCACCCTTCACGCTGTAGGCCCTGCGGGGCGATCGACCGGTCGGCGTCGACGGGTGCTGTGCCTGCGATGGAAGCCTGCGGGGATAGCGCGGATGCAGTTGGGTGAATGAATCACGGGCTATCTGCAGCGGACAACGCGACAACGCTGCAGATGGCGGGTTGACAGAATCCATCGACCGGGGACGGGAACGCGCGGAGTTGCCCGCCGTGGCAGGTGAACGTGCGTGGCGCCGCGCGGTGCGGGGTTGGCACGTCTGATTGCAGAGCTAATACTGGGCAGTGTTAACATTGTGGGTGATGGAGTGGGGGGTCGCACGCTGATAGCGATGACGGCGATGTGGATGGGAGAGGAGGCACCCTCGCACGCGGATGACGGGCTGCTGCCATCTCTGACGCATATGCAAACGTCACTCCCGCGTCTTCTAGTGTGTCCTAGCTTCTGGCGGGCGCCCGGCCCGGCCCCGGCCGGTCTGGACGCCGGGGGTAGGGCGCCCTTCGCGGCGCCACTGGGTTGCGACGAGGAATACAGTAGGCGGGCTTCTCCGCCCGTGCAGCTGCTTCTTCTTCTGCCTCGCTCGTCGGGGCCTACGCAGGCCCAGACTTAGAGGGAACAAGACTTGGGATCCCGAAAGCGCTGCTTCTGCCAGTGTGTTGGCGCGGCTGCATAACCTGCTGAATCCACTCCTTTAACGAACCTCACCTGCCTGACTCGGAGCCAGGCACCGCTCCCTGCTCTCGACCCGGCGTGCAGATGCCTTCTTGTGCACATCTGGTATCTGCGCTGCCTAATCCAAATCGCGTTAGGCACGCTTTGCCTGCCATTTAGCTGGGGTGGCGCGCCGCTGGCAGGGGCTGTCAGATAGCGCTGCGTTTAGCGCGTCCGCCCTGCCACCAGCTGCTTCCGCTTCCTCGCCCCTCGCGACCGCTCGATCGGACTTCGCACTTGCCCTTTATTTCCACCACTCGATGCACTGGCTTCCTGTCCTTACCTCGATCGAGGAGTTGCACCGCGAGGCTGCGCGGTGCCTGACGACGTCGCCATAGTGCAGGGGGGCGAGTGCGCTTGCCGCGCCGGGGGCCGCCATCTGCGTGCGGTCCGGGCGCCGGCGGTCCGGAATGGCCGGCGCTGGCCGGTAGAGGGTTCGAGCAGGAAGATGGCATGAGAGGCGTCGTGAGGGAGGATATGGAGATCGGCCGGAGCCGGAGCAGAAACTGCGGCCAACTGCATGCGCTGTTTGCTCCCGCGGGCCGCGGGTGAGGTTCTGGGATGCATGACGACGGCGACGGCGATGGGGCGATGATGATATAGGGAGAAGGGTCCGGGGCCCGGGGGCGGCTTCGGCTCGCACGCACACGCACACGCCGGCGGTTGCCGCGTACGAGAGCGATTCACGGAAGGGAGTCATAGAGAATTGTGAGTATAATTACTCAACTCCTTAACTGCGCGGGGCCACTACCAAGAGGTGTCAGATTCGTGAGATCCACCCACCCGCAATCAAACGTAAACCACCCCCCCCCCAAATGCGGAAATCCCGTGACTTCATCACACTGTCGTGACTTGAGGCTAAGGTTGGAGCCTTGGAGGTTGGGCCAAGGTGGCGAGCCCATCAGCTTGACAGCAGCTTTTAGAGCTGTTGGAAGCTTAGTGCTTGACATAGCTAGATGTGTGTTTACCTTGTGCTTAGGACTGCTAGCGCAATTTTTCAGAGGCTTGTCACATTGTCACTGCCTAGAGATTGCACTACAAAGTGGCCTATATACATATTGTTCTTGCATGATCGCTAGTTTTTCCGCGGATTCTACCTTGATTTAGAGAAGGCAGTGCGTGATTCAATCAAAATGCCGTTTGATTGCGGGTGGGCAAATCGGCCAAATCTGACACCCCTTGGCCACTACTAAAAGCGCCGGCGATCGATCGTGTTTCGTGCGTGTGTGTCCGTGTGTAACTTAGCCTCGCGGCCCTGGGTTCTCATTGACTCATTCATTATACTCAGATGTTAAGGTTACCTTGGAGTCGTCAGTTACCACGCAGGCGATCTAAGCCTGCGCCTGTCAGGCGAGTTTAAAAGCGCAAGACGGGTCCAGGAGGCCGGCGGCGCGAGGCTCAAGCCTCAGTGTGTGCGGGCAAGAGATGAGATGGGGCGATAAGGATACACAGGCAGTAGGGTACAGCGGGTGGGGAGGCATGGTATCGATGGATGGATGGATGGGGGATATGATATCGGCGAATATACACACGCCGTCGTGGTCGTCGGCAGAGCAGAGCTGCACCCCATCAGCCCCTCCCTGCTTACAAGATACACACACGCACCAAGAATGCAAGAACCAAAAAGTAAGGGGGGGGGGCTACCGCACGACG